AGTATGGTAATGGAGTTTTGAGTTCTAACAAACATGGTGGTGTCAAAACTGATGGGTTTGAGCTTAGAGGCCAATCTTGGTAATGTCCTCAAAACTTAAAACAAAACACACACTCAATACAACAAGTTTCCTTGTTAAAGAAGTTAAGATTCATTAACCAAAAACCTTTTGCTTTTTGATAAGGTTTGTTGCTACCGATATCCCTAGCGATCTTCTGGTTAAAATCGGCGACATGAATTTCCACTTGCACAAGGTAAAAAATGATCTTGATTCAATATTATTATACGTTGGAATTGTGAATGGATTCGGAATGTTTCTGTTTCTTTCTTTCAGTATCCGTTGCTTTCACGTAGCGGGAAGATGAACAGATTGATCTACGAGTCACGGGATCCTGACCCGACCATACTTATTCTTGATGATCTACCTGGAGGACCAGAAGCATTTGAGCTTGCATCAAAATTCTGCTATGGAGTTCCCGTGGATCTCACGGCAACTAACATATCAGGTCTACGTTGTGCAGCTGAGTATCTTGAGATGACAGAGGATCTCGAGGAAGGGAATCTAATCTTCAAGACAGAAGCTTTTCTCAGCTATGTTGTTCTGTCTTCATGGAGAGACTCGATCTTGGTTCTAAAGAGCTGTGAGAAGCTATCACCTTGGGCTGAGAATCTTCAGATTGTTAGGAGGTGTAGTGAATCTATTGCTTGGAAAGCTTGTAGTAACCCAAAAGGGATTAGATGGGCTTACACAGGGAAATCTCCATCTCCTTCGACCACGAATTTCGCGGGTTCAAGTCCGAAATGGAACGATTCGAAGGATTCGAGTTTCTATTGTAGCCCGAGCAGGAACACTAATAACCAGCCTGTTCCTCCTGATTGGTGGTTCGAAGATGTCTCTATCTTGAGAATCGATCACTTCGTTCGTGTCATCACTGCAATCAAGGTACATAGATACTCTTCTCTCGAGCATTTTCACAAACAGTTCGTGTGCATATCTCTCTGCTTTTTTCATTCTTCTTGTTTATCTTGAGCATTTCCACAAACACTTGGTGTCCATATTTCAATCCTCAAACTCTAATGTCTGAAACAGGTGAAAGGTATGAGATTTGAGCTTCTCGGAGCTGCGATTATGCATTACGCCGGAAAATGGCTTCCGGGTTTGATCAAAGAAGGAGGAGTTTCAGTAGCTCCAGCAATGTCCACCATT